GAGGTTTATGTTTACCTCGATACAGACGGCATGATGGATGCGAAGGAGATTGATAGACAGTGCAGGCTGTCTGCAACAGCACCTGCTGCTGCTGCTGCAGCAGGGAGGCTACAGCAGCAGAAGCACTACAAGCAGCAGCAGCAGCAGGAGCAACAGAAGCAGCAGCAGCAGCAGCAGCAACAGCAGGCGACCTGTCGTGAAGATGATTGGGAGGATCTTCCGTCTGTTTCACTCTCACCAACTGAAGGGCGCAGCAGCAGCGGCAGCAGCAGCAGCAGCAGCAGCCTCAGCAGCAGCAGCAACAGCAGCAGCGACTTCAATCTCATGGCGAGAAGTGAAGAGGACTTCGGACCCTCCCTCGGTCTCACTCCAGGCACAAGCCCACCGACAGCAGCAGCAGCAGCAGAAGCAGCAGCAACAGCAACAGCAGCAGCAGCAGCAGCAGCAACAGCAGCAGCAGCAGCAGCACGAGGATACTGCTCCGCTTCAGAGCTGACGGAGGGTCCTTCGCCTGCTGCTGGTGGCGAGTCGCCACGGTGGGCCAGTGACAGAGACAGCAGCAGCAGCAGCAGCAGCAGCAGCAGCAGCACCAACAACAGCAGCAGCAGCTTTTGCAAGAGGCGCCTGACGTCCGACCCTTTGCCGCGATCGAGCGAAGCGCCTGCAGCAGCAGAGGACTCTGCTGCAGCAGCAGCAGCAACCGCAGCAGCAGCAGCAGCAGCAACAGCAGCAGCACCAATAACAGCAGCAGCAGGAGAGAGCGACGATGTGCAGCGCTGCCCGTTGTCTGCGGTATCTCCTTCCTGCAGCGGGAGCAGCAGCAAGACGAGGAGCAGCACGAAGACGCACAGCAGCAGCAGCAGCAGCAGCAGCAGCAGAGTATCCCCTACTAGCAGCGCCAGCAACAGGAAAGCGAGCAGCAGCAGCAGCAGCAGCAGCAGTAGCAATACGGGAAAGAAGAGCAGCAGCAAGCGTAGGAGCCGAAGTATCAGGAGCAGCACCACGACCAACAACAACAGCAGCAACAGCAGCAGCAACAGCAGCAGCAGCATATGGAGGCGAGGTTGTTTGCTGCTGTTTCCTTTGAAAGTGAGCAGCGGCGAAGGTATGAATGAGGTGTATATACGTCCGCTGCTGTCGTATATGTCGTTGCCTTGGTCGTTAGGCATGATTGCAGGCAGAGGGCAGCAGGCTTTCTTCTGTATCGGTTATCAGGGTGATTGCATGCTCTATCTAGACCCGCATGCTCGCATACAGGTAAGGCTTATTATCTTATTATGTACAACACACTCAGTCTCCTGCTCTTTATCTTTGCCGTTACTCATGCTCATGCTGCTGGTCCTGCTGATGCTGCTGGTGCTGCTGATGCTGCTGATGCTGCTGATGCTGCTGATGCTGCTGATGCTGCTGGTGATGCTGATGCTGCTGATGCTGCTGGTGATGGTGATGGTCGTGGTGCTGCTGCTGTTGTGGATGCTGCTGCTGCTGCTGGTGTTGTCGCTGCTGCTGTTGCTGCTGCTGCTGCTGCTGGTGTTGCTCGTGATGGCGGTGGTGCTGCTGCTGTTGCTGTTGGTGTTGCTGTTGCTGTTGCTGTTTCTGTTTGTATTGCTGCTGGCTTCTCTATTGCAGCATTTGTGGGTGGCGTTCATCTGCTATTTTCTCTTTGCTGCTGCTGCTGCTGCTTCTATTGCTGCTTCTACTGCTGCTTCTACTGCTGGTACCCTACTGCTGCTGCTTTAACAACTCCTACTACTGCTGTTGCTGCTGCTGCTGCTGCTGCTGCTGCTGCTGTTGTTGCTGCTGCAGCCTCCTGCTTTGGAGTTAGGGTTTACAACGCAGATGTCTCTGTTTGGCTGCAAACCTCTGAAGCAAACTCTTGCTGTCTTAAATGCTTCCTTTGCTCTGGCTTTCTATGTGGGGTCATTGAGAGAGCTGCTGCTGCTGCAGCAAGAGCTGCAACGAATAGAGCAGCAGCACCCTACATGCTTCTTAATAACAACCAGAACTTATGCAGCGGTCAAACATAGCAAACATAGTAAACACAAACACCATCATCAGCACCTAAAGCAGCAGCAGCAGCAAGGAGTTCAGCAGCAGCAAGGGGTGCAGCAGCAGCAAGGAGTGCAGCAGCAGCAAGAAGAGCAGCAGCAGCAAGGAGAGCAGCAGCAGCAAGAAGAGCAACGTCACCATCATCGACGCCACAAACACCATAAACACCACCACCAGCAGCAACAGCAGCAGCAGCAGCAGCAGCAGCAGCAGCAGCAGCAGCATATGAAGGGAGAGGAACAGCAGCAGGAAGGAAGGTAGGGCATAGAGAGAGACAGAGACAGACAGAAATCTGCTGCTGTTTATTTTGCTTTGCTGCAGATACTTGCGTTCATGCATGCATATATTTATAGATTTGTTTGGCTTCTGTTGCTTGCTTTTCGTCTGTCTCTCTTTCTTGCTGCAGCAGCTGCAGCAGCAGCAGCAGCAGCACAGGATATAAAGGAGACAC